AGTTGAACTATTCATAGGTATATGCAAAGATAAACCGTCTCTGTTCAGAATCGTTTTTTGTATACAATGATATAATATCATTAGATTCAAATTTAATTCCATCCATTACAGTAACCCACTTGTAACCTACTGTACCTACAGCAGAGCGACATCCATGACTTACCCGCTTTTTTSTATTATAATASAGTTAATTTTAAATTAGTAGGGGWTTGCATGTCTATAAATATATTAATCTAATTAATTGTTAATTTTATGTAAATAAATAAAATGAACTCAAAATTAAGACTATTTCAGTATTGTTTATGTAAAAAAAAAATTTGATGTAGTATTTACATGTAAGGGGCGGCAAAACTCAAGTTTGCCTAGGTGAGTTTAAGCACTTAAGCCGGGCCTGCTTGAAGAAAAATATATTCTCTGTAGCCCTTTTAAAAAAAAGTTTAACCCCCACCCCTCACCTAATAGACCGATTTATGATATATTTTTAGTATCCTAGCAACCATTTACTATCAATATCAAACAATGATTTATTTAGTAATAAAAGTTAACTATTTTGTTTTTTTATAAATATTGTTTTGAATATGGCTCCTTCTTTACATTACCAAGTTATTCTTTATTTTAATCGTTATTWTTTTTTGTTGTATTACATTATTGAGATAACCGTTTGCATTTTGAAAACTTATAAATTATCATATCCAACAAGGATAGCAACTGTTGAATGGCTCATTCTCGTATTATTGTACCCAGTACAAAGAAGCCGTATAGCTTTGGGCAGCAAAGGAAACCTTACTGACAAAGCACCACCTATTGTTATATCATCAATACTTAACATAACAACCATCTTGGGCACATTACATTTAATTAGATGGCAGACATACATAATTCATTTAGAAATAATAATTGGTTATATAGAATTAACTTTTGAATCAATTTGTTTTATATTAGGATTTATTCATTTATTAACTCAAAATTCTAATATGTATTGAAATGCAGATTATACACCTTATAATTTTAAATCAAATACATTTTTTTTTTTTTTATTTAATTTGTATTATTAAAAATATTGTAAAATTTAATTAGATTTTAAGGATTCATCCTCAGACAAATCCATGGTTGATAAATTTGTATCATTACTGTAATATGAAGTACCAACACCACTGTCCTCTACAATTTTATCAATAAACAATTCTTGTAATTTATTTATTTCTTCATTGGCCCGCCTATTATAGGCATTTAAAATCTTATGGAGTTCATGATTGGATCTTTTGACTAGAGCTGTATGCAAGGTGAGTAAATGGATTTTTTCGACTAAACACTTATAGTTAGGTCTATTTAAAGTAAATTCTCGTTCAAAGTCTGTTAATCCATCACAAGCAGTTTCCCAATTTATTTAAAAGAGTATGTATTTAATACAAATGTAATTTATAATTTATTTTCTTACACATGATATTAAATTTAAAATCTTATGGAGTTCATGATTGGATCTTTTGACTAGAGCTGTATGCAAGGTGAGTAAATGGATTTTTTCGACTAAACACTTATAGTTAGGTCTATTTAAAGTAAATTCTCGTTCAAAGTCTGTTAATCCATCACAAGCAGTTTCCCAATTTATTTCAACTTTGCTTTTGCGTAATTTACTGGAAAATGTAAAATTTTAAATTTAATATCATGTGTAAGAAAATAAATTATAAATTACATTTGTATTAAATACATACTCTTTTAAATGAATTTGTTCTTCTTGTTTACTAGATACCAATTTTGGATATTCATGCTTGCGACTTATCAATTTTTGAGTATATCTAAGGAACATGTATRTAATAATATGAAAATAAGTTTGAAACATATAAATAAGTGGTTTTTAGTAGATATTAAAAAAAAAATTGTGTGTGACTCCACAACAACTTTTTCTATTTATATATGTATATAAGGTTTAACATTTTTAAACAAATTGCCTCATAAGTTTTCTACCTTTAATAAAAAAAAAGTTTATTCAGAAAGTTAAATTAATTTTTGAAGAGTTTAAATTTTTACGACATTGGATATTCAACTGATTTCACATGGAATGATTTTTTAAATGTTTATACTAGTATTTTCAAGGTATAATATATTTTTCAAAATAGTTTGACTTTATGAGATAACATTAAATGTTTAAACAAATAGATGTAATTTAATTAAAAAATATGATTTATTGGTACTTGAAAATTGTAAAGTATATTAAATTAACGTTTTAAAAAAAAATTAATTCAACATACTGTTAGTATTAAACTTAACCGTTTCACAAAAATAAGAGCATTTTATGCGCGACATATCGTAAGCAATTGTTTATRGTTTACATAAGTTAAGTTTATATGTGGCCACTAGCAATGACAATATCATATGATAATGTAAACTTCTGTTTCAAGATAAAATCATTTTTATTGGTGTCAATTATTTAGTGGATTATTTTTATGAAAATTTTAATAACCTAATTTAAAACTCAAATAATTTAAAATAGCTTAATATTTGTAAAAATGTTTACATTAAGAATAATTATGTTATAATAGGTAGTGTTTAAAAATGTTATCGCAAAAACATAAAATAAATGTAATATCAAACTAGTATTGTACTTGGACCATTTTTATAAATTATAAATATTGATACTATAGATTAATATAAATTACTAAAATGTTGTGGTGCAAGTTTATATTTCTGCACCCCTAGAAAATCATAAAAATTTGTATATCTACAGTTTCAAAAGTTCATATTTATAACCTATAAAGTTTTAACTGTCAAACAACCATCTTTTTTAATATTAATAATTAATTACAAATAGGAAAATAGGTGAACAATTTTCTGTCGGAAATTTCCAAAGTATTGTATGTTTCAAATTTAAATATTTCTCTGCATCACCAGAAATTTAGTTAAATTTACACCACTGCTTGTTTGTATTATGATTCTGATACTGATACTTATTTCAACATCTCCAGAAAAACTGTCTGCAAAATAATTCACTGTATAAAGTTGGGGGGAGGAGTTGTAATTTGTAAAACAGAAGTGTAAAACCTCACTGAYGCTGGTTTAGAACAAAAAATGTCAAGAACTCGAAAATATGGTATTCAAGTATATTTAAAAATTCCAAAAATCAAATTTTTAATAACTACATTGTTAAATAAAAATAAGTGGCAAACTTAGTGAATTTGAATTACTTTGAACCTTTACCTCAGAAACACCATATATATTTATTGTATACAAACAGATATAAAATGCATTATTTTAAGATATAAACTTACTCTTGTAATGCTTGTTTTCCTAGACCACCAAACATTATTGAATTAGAAATAATGTTTTCTTTTTCATCATTCACCCAATTCATATTCTTAAACAGCTCCAATTGTTTTTCATGATTCTCTAAAATAATTATTTTATTTTTTAGGATACTAAATAGTTAAAAGATATACATCAACTAATATTTGTAACATATTCGAAAAAAGTACCTTCAACAGGTTTTGGAAAAAAACTTGAACGACGTTTTCCGGACACCTCGGACATTTTTTTTTTTTAATACACTTTTCTTTTACAGTCGATTGTGGTATAGTTAATACAGAATAAACAAAAAAATACGTAAGCCAATATTTATTAGTTATTATAAAGTACGAAATTTGAATTTTGGATTTCAAATATAAAAATATTTTTATTTAATTTATAATTTACCAATATATTATATTATCCTAAACGACCTAAACAATATAAGAGTATACGTCTTTCAACTTTACCACCGTTGATAACGATCGTTTGAATTTAAAATGTTTAACCACAGAATATATTCTGTGGTTTAACCATAGACCTTAATATGGCCCACGGCTGTAGATAGGATGTTGCACATCGAGACGTTAAAATGTGTAAAACAAATGTTCTTATCAAAATTATTGAAAAACCTACGATTCGTTACAGCGCTATCTAGTATCTACAATAGAAATATAGAATTATACGGCAAGTAGCCCCCTAATGACCACCCAAGTACCCCCACATTTTTACAACTGTACAGAATGCTATCCGTATATAGTATAATAAAAATAAAACCACCAAAATCTGGAAACTGCACCATATTAGAAGGTACATTAATTCAATATCTGAAACTTATAACCTTAATTTATTTTAATTTTTTAGATAATGTTCCTGTTATTAGCATATGTGATCTTAGAGACATAGTCAGCGAACAAAATATAAACTCTGAGAGCATCAGCAATAAAATGTAGTATATATTAA